CCCTACTTTGATATTTATGTGTCCTTTAAGTTTTCCTAATGCACAAGAATTCACAAAAGAAATTGTAAATATGTGTAAGGAAAGGAGAAGAGGATGCATAAAACTTTTGAGAAGACTTATTCTTTTATAAAGGTGAGAAGAGATAACAACAGAATTAAAATATAATGTTTTCAGAAGATTGTTCTGTGGTAAAATTGCTGAATTTTCAAGTTGGGAAATGTTACTTCCAAAAAAACACCATTTGCACTTAAATTATTTATGTGTAACTTTTGTTTAAACTAGACTTTTTTTATATATACTGTTGGCATAAGTAGCAGCAAGCTCCAGGTTTCAATCATTTTAATTCGGGGTGTGGAAAATGTTGCTGCTGAAGCAACCTGGTGGCTTGTTGTTGATGAAAGGGACTCCTTCACCTTCCACCTCTGCCCATCCCCTCTCTTTTTAGATCAGTGTAGGCACAGCATCTAACAGCTCCTTAAAGCTGCTGCAGACCGGTGCATGGATGCCTCAGCTTTAGCTGATTCCTGTCTGAGAGGAACTGAAGCTGTAGGCAATTCTTTTGAGCCTTTCAGTACAAAAATAGATCTCAAATGAACACCAGTCATTAATTGCACATAGCCTCAAACAGCAAGTGCCTGGCTGCCAACCCTTCTACCTTTGTGAGTTTTCTCAACAGAATCATCTGTGCAAAAATACTGTGCAACACCAGGATCCTTTTTTCAACCTGTATTATTCCAACCTATGGTAGGAATGTGGTTTCTAAATTAGTTTGCCAAAGACCAATGTGCAAATACAAATCTGTAACCATTTAAGTGTAGCAAATCTTGACCCTCATGTAGTTACTGGTCCCTTTGCTGACCAAGTCCCTTTGGCTAAAGGTTTCCTGTCTCATCAGTACGATGAGACTCATTCACTGCAGTTCTGGCCCTCCAATTATTCTTATTATTAATTTCATTAAAATATTAGCATAAGACCACCCCAGCCCCAAGGGGAACAGATCTAGATGAGGGATGGCAAGAATTTGAATATGGTGGGTTTCTGTCTCTGGTTTCCAGATTTAATAGAGTGACACAAAGTTTTGTGAGGCAGAGTGGGGTAAGAGAGAAGTTTAACTGAAACATGGTGTCTTCAGATGTATGTGTAACATTCTCTGATGAGGGAAGACTATGTGCTGAAGTATTGAAACTTCTCTGCCTGGTTGAACTGCAAGCAAAGGCCTGAAAGCCACTATGACATTTATTGAAATGACTGGGAATTGTCCACTCAGCTTCCCTGTGGTGTGGCCAAACGCTTCAGCTGCTTGCTCTTCAGATGTGCCAGAGATAAACCTGTGCTGTGACATCAGAGAGCTCCACATCTTGATCTCTTCAGGCTTAGTGTTTGTGAGCAGTTGAATTAGAGTCTCTTAAATATCTGTAGATATATATATATATTTAGAAATCTCTGTAGTTGTGTTTGGGGTGTATTAAGGGTACAAAACTGTATATTATCAAACCTCACCAAAATATTTTTCTTTGTTCTTTCTTTTGTTTGTTCTTCAATAGTACACTTAAAAGAGAGGCTGGATGACTATATTAAGCAGTGGAATGGCCTTGTAAAGATATTTCGAAATGAGAGGAGAGAAGGTTTAATCCAAGCTAGAAGCATTGGAGCCCAGAAGGCTAAACTTGGACAGGTAGGAGCCAGTTCACACACAAGTCAAGTTTTGTTTTGTTTTTTTTTTCTTTTTTGGGGGGGAGAGGCGGTGGTTCTATGTTTGAATAGATATGTAGAAACATAGGATTATATTATTAATACTGTTTTAAAAATATACTAATTTTACTCCTTTAAGCTTTTTTAAAAAAAAATAATACGGAACTATTTCAGTATACATAACCTTAATTAAATTATTGTCATCTCATATACAGAAATAGAAATTTATTTATTTTTTCTTTTGAAGGTTTTGGTTTACCTGGATGCCCATTGTGAGGTGGGAATTAATTGGTATGCGCCACTTATAGCTCCTATATCTAAGGACAGGTAATGTTCTCCTGTTATTTCCAGTGCCTGGCCTCTTAGGAAGACAAAGTCACAGTAACAATCTTCACTTTTCTAACTGTAGTCAGTATGTTTTATATCTGTATTTGTTGTATGATTGTTTTATTGTCATCATAGGAAAATAGGCAAATAAATCTTCAGACAGTTTCTTTTAATAGTCATACTGAATCTTTTGCTTAGTATAGATTAAATACAAGACAACTTTTGTCCTATGCAACGATCTCAGGCACTGTTAGAAAAATGTTCCATTCTGGCTGAATAAGGACCCTGGTTAAACAAAATAACTAAACAAAAATGTGATATTTGATAGATGAAGAGTAGTGGTGTTTTGATTTAATTGGGATTTGGAGCCTGTGTGATCTCAAGATTTTTTTAGCTTTCTCACCTTTGGTCTTGCAATATGGTCTTGTTTCCTCTGAAACTTTTTGAAGTGCTGCCTCTAATGAATGGAGGCCAGAGCTTGAGCTTGAGCCTGCCCCTGCTGCAAGCCCAGGCGCTTGATAGGAGCCAGGGGTGGAAATGCCTGCATGGTGTGTGTGGGATCTGCCAGGGGTGACAGAGGAGGGAGATCCCCAGGGGCTTCCTTTGTTCTAGTTGTTGAAATGCTGCTGTTGCTGCATGCTACCACATTCCTAGTTTTTGTGGTCTGGCAGTGTTTGTGTTTAGGAAACCATGTGTTTGTTTGAAAATTTTAATCCCATAAAATAACTATTTAATCCTAAAAGTATTTGTCAACCTGTCGTACTACCAGAACTTACTTGAACAGGTGCGTTTTGTGTGTTTTAAAGGCTGTAACAGCATCAAGACTGTATTTGGGCTAGGATACTAGAGAAAGGGTGGAAATACTTTTGTGCTTCCACCGAGTGTATGTTAGTCTTTTACATGAGAGAGGCTGGTGAGAACAGGCAGCTTTAGGGGCATCCTCCAGCACCACTTGCAGAGGCAGAGAGGCTATGTGAGGAGCAGTGATGCTGAGGTGCACGGTGCTGGAGGGCAGCCCTTGGCAGCCTTCTTCCAAGCCCTAGTACCCTCATTAGCATTTCCCGCCTTACTTTTCTGTCTCATAGGATTTGACTTTAAAAGATTATAAAGCTCCAAGTTTGGTCACTGGGAAACTCATTTGGAAAACTGGGAGGGGATTAACAAGATAATGTCTTTTCCTTGGTGAATATTGTATGTGATAGATCACAATGAGGAGTATATTGCAACTCAAACAGGAAAAAATCTACTTAAGAGTGCTGATAGGAGAGCACCAGTAATGTGTTGAGTTTTTTTTATCCTGAGAGATTTGATTTGCAGGGCAATTGAATAGGACAAAATAGTAAAAATCCATGTTTACAGTAGTAAAAGCTAAGAGCTTACCATAGTTGTTGACAGCTAAGATCTGATACGAATAGAAATCACAGGAAATAATATTATTGTGAGAACCCTAGCCCTCTACAGGCTCCTCTGTTGCCTCCGGTAGTGCTCTCTTGGAAGACTGATGTTAAAAAGTCATAAAGAAAAAAGTACTGATAAATGGATGTATTAGCATTTCAGACCTAACTTTTCTGCTTTCAGAACCTCTTAGAACAACATAAAGGACTATCTCTTTTTTTCTTCTAATGAGACTTTGTTTTTTAAGTAATATGTTTAAGAGTGACTTTTCATATAAACTGCTCTGTAAGCTTAATAATTAATGGTGTAAATTTCAGATTAGACAGATTACTCTTCTGAAATTGTATTTTGCTCTATCTTTCCCTTCTATAAATGTTTCAGAACTACATGTACTGTACCTCTAATAGATTACATAGATGGGAATGATTATTCCATTGAGCCACAACAAGGTGGGGATGAAGATGGTTTTGCCAGAGGGGCCTGGGACTGGAGTTTGCTATGGAAAAGAATTCCGTTAAACCACAAGGAAAAGTCCAAACGAAAACATAAAACTGAGCCTTATCGGTAAAGACGGCTGTTTACATACTGTGAATCATAACGAATAACTGTCTAAACCCTGTCATTTTTCCCTCTCCCCCCCCTCTTTTCCCACGATCTACGGTCGGTGCACGTGTGCCACACGGGTCCTTGCACATAACCACATCTCCCCTGCACCACCCGCCACCCTGCAGAACCACATGCACTGTGCCGCTTATAGATGTCATAGATGGCAACACTTATAGGATTGTGCCGCAAGGGGGTGGTGACGAAGATGGGTTTGCTAGAGGAGCGTGGGATTGGAGTATGCTATGGAAGAGGGTTCCCTTGACCAAGCGAGAGAAGGAAAGCAGAAAGACAAAAACTGAACCGTATCGGTAATCACTAAATCACTTACCCCTCTCTTTTTTTTTTTTTCTGAAGTCAATATTGATCCACTAAAACTTGCATGTACTTCTAACCTGAAAATCTTCATGTTTCTAATCACACCAGCTGCTTTGTTTAGTCAGACCTGTTTGCCACAACTGACTATTTCCTCAAAATACCTTTGCTACCTCATGTCCTCTCCATTCCTGCTCTTGTGTGGTTAATAGGGTGCACATTAGAATGACAGGGTTTTGTTTGGCAAAACAAAATGTTGTATGACTTAGTTTGGAGGGGAAACTTTCTTTAGCTCTGATATGTTTTTAAGTAGTGTTGGAAACAACAGTGCTTATTTAACCATTTGTTTTGAAATAACAAGCATGCTGTGAGAATTTATAATAGCCAGTAATGCATAAAATCTGTAGCCTGGTGTCATGGCTTGATGCATGCATACAGATTGTGGATTATGCATGTGTTCAAAAAAAAAAAAAATCCCTTTTGTTATATTTCTCCCACTTGCTTCTTAGTAGATCACATCTGACAAAGCAGCATACTGTTTAAGAATCTTGCCTGGATATTTTCTAAGGTCTCAGTATGTTTTGGAATTTCAATTTAATACACATAACATGGAAAAAAACAACCAAACAAACCCACCAAACCAAAAAATGCCTACCATCTTATTTCCTGGGAAAACTCCAATAGCTTTCACAGAAATCCCACCTTTTTCTTTATTCTTTGTAGGGGGCTGTGGTTTTTTCCCAGCAAACGGAAACTGGCTAGAAACCATAGCTTAGAAACTTGGGGTTTCTGGATGGCTTTTCAAGACTGGGAGACTGTGGTTCTGCTGGTTTTTATTACTTCCCCCTTCACGCTTAACTATAACCGTCTTACTACATTTGAAAGCAATCCTCACATCTTCAGAATCTAATTACTTCTATTGCTTATATATATATATATATGATTTAAACATTGTAAGGACTGGTGTTGGTAATTCCCTATCCTCACCCATTATTGTTCTTTGCTAAAATGGCAACACATGCAAGGAAGTTATGAAGCTTTGATCTCTTTTGTATACAGTATAAATAATTCCATTTTCTGACAAGGCTGTCCACATTGGAACTTAATATTTGCTTAGAGTGGAATAAACTATTTCAAACATTGCTGTTGTGTTCTGTGTTTACCATCCAAACAGGTGTTAAAATGCTTTAAACTATTCCCAGAAACATAGAACACATGTTCTCAGAATGGTTTAAAAGATGACTTTATGTTTAATAATATTTTTCAAAGTTACAGTACTTCTTAAAAAGAGACATTCCCTGCATCTATTTATATCCAGGCTGTATTTACAAAAAATATACATATACTATATATGTACTTGTTGCAGCAGTATCAAGGCAAGTAAGACCAGGTTTTGCTGAAACCATAGCCAGGATTGCTTAGTGTAAAAAGAAAACAAACCCAAAAAATCCCTCTCAATAGCTTGAAGCACAGAAACAAACTTCTTGTAATGTGAGAATTGCCCCAGGACACAATCCTTCTTTCAGTAATATTATGCTTACCTCCTCATATCCTATAAAATAAACTACTAAGCTTATGCAGATTTTACTGTATTCTTTAACACACTTGGCAGCACGTTGGAGGCCAAGACTAAAACTTCAGCATCTGAGGCCTCTACACTTGCCAAGTGTTTATGGTGCAGAGGAAAACCAAATGTGCAGGAAAGCCACAGGGCTGTGCTCTGCAGTGTGCTCCTCCCTGCTGTGCTCCCTGGCTACTTAACCTGTAAGCAGCCAAGTCAAGGTGGACATTTAGGAGTTAACCCAGAATCTGATCAGGTCATTTGGAGAGCAGCTGAACTGATAACCATTATACTTAATTCAGCTGATGGACCCAGCAGTTCTGGTTTTGTTGCTCTACCTCTGTTGTGCAGAGGAGCTGTATGTTAGCCCTGCAGGTTACTTTTTCCTGAGCATTTCTACTCCAGACATTCATGAGCAGAAGGGAAATACATAATCATTGCTGTTAAAAGGAGCATGACCAAGTTAATCTAATAGAATTAAGAAGCTGAATAGTGCTAGAAAAGACCCATCTCAATAATTTCATCATGAAGAAGTAGTTCACTTGTGTTTTACTTGACTTACCAGGGTGATCTTGGACTCTTGAATCCTCCACCTTTCAATGCTGCAGATCATTTAAAGTCAGAAAGAATTCACGTTTTCCTTACCAGCTTTTTTTTTTTTTAATTGCCAGCTTAGTGGGGAGCCCAACTTATATCCGTAAAGGTTTTTATATATTTATTAATCCTCAGGTGAAAAATGCATGGTATGTGCACTGGAAATGCTTAACATACACTTCTCTCTGCTTCAGTGTGAGCAAGCAATGGAAAAGTTTTGGGTAAAGCCATTCTGCAAAAAATGCTCTAATCCAAACTATAATGTCTTTTTGACACATTAAAACTTGATAATTGAACCCTGGCACACATTGAGGGATTTACAAAACCATTTTAAAAAAAACTACACAGAACACTAAATCAAAATGGAAACCATATACAACTTGATCCAGACCCTCTTAAAAATTTCCAAGAGGATAATGAAAAGTGGCTGATGTAGCAGTAGTAGAAAAAAAAAAACTAGAGGGAGAAGATAATACTGTTTAGCTAGAAAAACTGTGTTGCTTGTGTAATAGTAAGTTTCAATGTGGCAGCTCCTCAGAGTATAAGCTCTTTCAGTCTGCTGTATAGTCTCATCTGTTATCTGAGAAGCTTGAATGACTTTTGAGAATGAAATGTCTTGCCATGCTGATTCTTACTTTTTTTAAATAGAAACACACTGGCTGGCCAAATGGAGAATTCCAACCAAAATTTTGTATAATAATTTAAAAAACAACAAAAAATATTGTGACTTCACGATAAATTATACAGCTGTCATTTCAGAAAATCACTGGAAGTGGATGACAAAGCTTTATGATTTTTCAATGTATTGCCATTTTTCTTGATTATATGTTAACAGTACATTGCTTCCTTAATGCTTTCCCCCAACTGTTACCATATGCTTTCAGCAGAAGTTACACTGTCTTCCTCTTTCAGGTCCCCCGCAATGGCTGGTGGATTGTTTGCCATTGAACGTGATTTCTTCTTTGAACTGGGTCTCTATGATCCAGGTCTTCAAATTTGGGGTGGTGAAAATTTTGAAATTTCTTACAAGGTAACACTAAAAAATTTAAATTAATTCAGTTTAGTATATGTATATTTATTGTAAATACCCCTGTTTGGAGTTCAGACCAATCAACCTCTGATTTGCACCGCCTGTGTCTCATGAAGCCTGGTAGGTTTTGTTGCAAGGAGACGCTGTCGTAGAGGTGTGTGTCCTTTACGTTTCCTGGTGGGCTTTAGGGAAGAAATGTTCAGAGAGGTGGCTTGATGCTGAGACCTGAATGCTGCGTAATCTAGGTTTTGTCAATGGTTTGGGATCACACACACCCCATAACATCTAATCTGAAATCAGACTGGCAGATTTAATGGGGGGAAGCTGAATGCTGTCATGATGAGTGTAGAAAAATACTGCTTCTAATAAAAGTGTTTACACAGAACAAGTAGTACTCAGTTTATGCATAGATGCATGTGAAGTATATAATGATGCAACAAAAAGTAATCTGCCCTGGCTTCTTCCTTTCTGCCATTTTTATACCATGAATATGATCTCATGTACTTTTCAAAATTTCAAGAACTTCTTTAAGAGAGAGGTCTTCGTAATTGAAACACTAACTGCATAATTCATAATCACTGCAGAAGATTTTATTTTCACTCGTAGGCATATGCATGCTCTTCAGTTAGCAGGAAACATGATAATCATTAGCTTCTTGTAGCTTCAGTATTCATAATGACACAAGTGGCAGACAGCAGGAATCTGTCCCAATTAACAGACAAAAGTAGAGACATCTAATATTCTCAGCAGCGATCTGTGAAACCATAGTTGAATTTTACCAAAAGTACATTCAGAGCTCCCCTAGCTACTTCCACTCCTTGTGATTTTCAGGAAAGCTCTGCGTGCGCTTGCTCAGCTGTAAATCCATATGCAAAAGGTAGTAATTGAGGATGTTACACATACAGGGTCTTTATCCTTCTAGTTCTCCATCTTGCTTAGAGCTAATAAATCATGATTGAAATTACAGCAGTTTTGTAATTGAACTGCTGATTGTGTAGAGGGCTCCAAACTGGTTTCATGCAGATCACTGATCACAGATCATGCAGCACAGCTAAACAAAATTTATCAGTCCTGGATGCTGACTCCTAGATAGCAAATACAATGGCCTCGCATATCTGAGGGTTTTTTGACGAAGCTTAAGAAGCTTAATATGATGATGCAATGAAGGCAGTAAATTATTCAGCCCATCTCTCCTAATACTGTGAAGTGATATTTTTAATCTGGAATTCAGACTAATTTGGAACACCCCCAAAGCTAGCTTGAATTTGGATTTCATGCTACATTTCAAACTTGTCAAAACTATGAGTAACTTCTAATTCAGATTTACGTATGTTTCCTTTTCTCCATTAGTGGATTATCCAAGGATGTGTGGGAGGGAGGGAATTTCAGAATGGTAATATCTTACCCATTTTTTATTTCCAGCTACTATAGCTAAAGAAAAATATGTATGTGCTTGGAACAATGGCATACCAAAGACAGCCTTATCTCCTACTAGTCTTTATTAAGAAAAATTTAAATGTGATGGGCATCTAACCAAACCCCATTTTAGTGGTGATATATGAGTTGCTTTAATAAAAGTATTAATTCTGCAATAATAAAAATTACTCAGTTCCAGATTTTGTGCATTCATTCATTATTGATGTTTTAAAATAGCAATGGAATGAGATGGCAAACTTTTTTAAAAGCTCTTTTAAAAAGTAATTTCACTGAGTAATTTCATGGCTGAGATAAAGATGTACTAAATACAGCCTTTAATTTCAGAAACCTATTATGTTGATGCTTGCAGAATCACAGAATGGTTTGGGTTGGAAGGGACCTTAAGGATCTTCTACTTCTTAACCCCATGCCAAGAGCAGGGACACCTCCCTCTAGACCACGTTGCTCAAAACCCCATCCAGCCTGGCCCTGAACCCTTCTAGAGAGGGAGCATCCACAACTTCCCCAGGCAACCTGTTCCAGTGTCTCACCCCCCTCACAGAGATAATTTCTTCTTAGTATCTAATCAAAATCATCCCTCTTTCAGCTTGAAAACATTACCCCTTGTCCTAACACTACATGCCCTTTTAAAAAGCCCCTCCTCAGCTTTCCTGTAGACACTTCAGGTACTGAAAGGATGCTATAAGGTCTCCCTGGAGCCTTCACTTCTCCAGACTGAACAGCCCCATCTGAAGCAAAAGTATTTAAATATATCACAGAGTTGGTATATTAAGAAAAGTGATTGAGATTTCTTACATAGCTTATTATTTGTCTGTTTTAGACTCCTGTGCGTATATATTAATATCTCCACCTTTGTTTTAACTTTTAGATCTGGCAGTGTGGGGGAAAACTGTTGTTTGTTCCCTGTTCTCGTATTGGACACATCTATCGTCTCCAGGGTTGGCAAGGAAATCCACCCCCTGTCTACGTTGGGTCTTCTCCTACATTAAAGGTACTGTTTTGCTGCAACCTTGAAGGTGGTTGTTTATTTTAGATAACAACAGTTTTTAGATAATTCTTCTTAAATTATCAGTAGCAGTATAGAGACAACTTCATCCAAAGCTGTTTAGTATCTAAAGCTAAGATAGTCATTCCCACAGGAGGGAAATATTTTTGCCAATCCCACTAAGAGTAGAGATTCCTAGAACCCATCTTTGAGGTACAAATCACGTTTCCTGTTACCTCTTCTGAGTACCCCAAGCCTTTGATGCACTGTGCACAACTGGAGTATGAACAACTCTAGTAAATACAACACACTCCTGGAGATTGTGGGTTTTAAATCCATCTTTGGCTTGATAGGAGATGATCATAGGCAGACTTAGCAAATGCTGTAGTCTAGCGTCTTGCAGAGCTTTGTGGCTCCATTTGTTAAGTAAGAAGCAGTAAATGACACCTGAGAAAATGGCATGCTTTGCACTTCATCGTAAAGCTTGGTCCTCAGACTAACTCCTCAGACTCCTTGCAGGGTCAAAAGTGCTGCTCAACCCATGATATTGTAAATAGATACTATCTCAAGGGGAGAGTGAGCCAGCTGTCTATATCTGAAGAGACAATGTGAAACAAGAAAAACTGTTTCATAGAAGTTTACACCCACCAGCACAGGAATAGAGATGACCCTCCTGTTGAGGTTTCCTTTTGCCTGGTTTAAGCTTCCTCTTGTGCAGTGTTGACATTGGTAGATCCTGTTCCCAAAGACCCAGTTCTTTGTAAATTCAAATCCCAGAACCATTTTCTGAGATGTTACCTGTGGCGATGACTACTGGTAGGGTTACAGAGTGTGGCTTGAGCCAAGCTAGCAGTTGGTTCTGTTGAAAAGGGAACATCCCAGCCTTGCTTAATAATAGAAAACTAACCTCGTACCAAAAAAGCAACAAAAAAAGATTCTCTATTAGAAATGTGAACTCATGAACATTTTGATCAAACAAGCACTAGGACCAGTACAAGGAGGACAGGGGGAAATGGGAATAGCTGGGAATAGGGACAGGGCAATGGGAGACAGACTAGCAAATGATAGCTCCATTATTCAGTGCAGGCAAGATGCTGGTTTGCCTTATCTGAAATTTTAAAATACATTTCACTCTTCAGAAAAGCTGATGAGAAGTATTTACTGCATACCTAAACACCTTACATGAGTCTTCTCATCTGCTTACTGAATACAACAAAACATTACTAAGTGTTCTTAAATCTTAAGTTGCCTCTCCATTCAAGGCAGGATGCAGGAATATCTTTCTCCCTCTTTGAGCACCCTCCTATCCCCACAGTAAATGTGCTTTTTTTATAGTTTAATTCAATATATGGTGGATGTGGATTAAAGTAAAACAATAATTTGTGCCTTTAGTCAGATCTATTAGGATTGTTTTAACACCTGGTTATTAATGCTAGAAGAATTGTACAAAGTGAGGTGTGCATCTAGAACAGATACAGGTAATACAGAGTTAAGAGCCATCAAAAAGACTCAGAAGAAGACGTGAGAGTCTTGTTCACCAGGCAAGCCATCCATTTTTCTCCTTCTCCAAGCGGCAATACACTACTTTGCTTGAGGAGATAATACCTCCTTCATGTTTCATAGCTGACTCATTGAAGACTTAATTTTTTAACTAATGTGTATCATTCACTCTATTAAAACAGTAGAAGGTGAACACAAACTCTAAATTGCAGTTCTGATACACAGCAAAGTATTGCAACACTTTATTGCACCCATAACTGAAGAGTATTTATTTTCAAATAAACATTCTCAAAGCGTAGAAGACTTTTTATTCTTGTTAAGCAAATCAGTTTATTTTGCTGGCTTCAGTCCTAAGCAATTATTTTAATTTGAAAATAATATGCCTGTGTCTTTTAGAATCTGCTGCAGGTGACAAGTTGTTAGTACTATATAATTATTTCATGCTGTCACTTTTATTTAAGAGGATACATCCTTAAATGTCTGGAATTATCATGCCGTTGCATCTGATGTTGTGTGTACTTTGAGGAAGCAGCAGTGTCCTTGTCCTTCACAGAACTATGTCAGAGTTGTAGAAGTGTGGTGGGACGAATATAAAGATTACTTCTATGCCAGTCGGCCAGAGACAAGAGCGTTACCCTATGGAGATATATCTGAGCTGAAAAAATTCCGTGAAGAACACAACTGCAAGAGTTTTAAGTGGTTTATGGAAGAAATAGCATATGATATACCTTCCCATTATCCCTTACCACCTAAAAACGTGGACTGGGGAGAAGTAAGTACAGTACATAATATGTATTTATTTTATGAGCTTTTTTAAAAAATTGGGAACCCCAAAGGAAGTGATAGGTACTTCACATCAATCTGAGAATAGGCTCTTTGATTACCACTGTACTAAGGCATAAGATACTAGCTAGAGAGCTATAGAGATACAACCTCAGGAAAAAAAAAAAAAAAGTTATATACTTTAAAAGGTGGGATTATTTTTTTTTTAGCTCCATAGTTTCTGGAAGGATTATTCTAAGTCTAACCCTATCTTCAGTTATGTCTAAAGCTTTCTTTGCCATAACTGGAATTTTTGTTTTTTAAAAGAAATAATGTTAATGGTGTGTGCATAAAAGTATTGGCAAAGATTAATAGGTGAGAATCTTTTTCTGTAAAGGTGTAGAGAATAGATAATGAAATCCAGGTGGAGTCCATTCTGCCTGTGTTTGCTAGCCTGGGATATACTCATACAGTTTAAACCTCAGTAAGTCCCTTATCTGCATGTAAGAATTTAACATGATTCATTAGCCATCTCTGGCATTAGTGTATATCAGCATGAATTCACCAGATTCAGAATGTGGTGTTCTTTGTTAGACGTTTGTACATGGTTGACAGCGAGAGACAGCGTGTCACCAGGCCGGTGCAGGATACCTCACTGAACCCTGTCCATTTTGTTCTAGCATTGAGTCCACCCCTTGAGGAGCTCTTACTACATGTCTTCTGCCTGCTTTCAAATTTTTTGTTTTCCTCTTTTCAGTTGGTTCTAGCCTTGCCTGGTCTCTCCTGTAAATTTCACTTTTGCACTTTTTTGCATCATGAAGAAGAAATAGGCTCTGGCAAAGAAAATTGGTCTGGAAATTGGAAAGACCATAAAGTCTTTGTAAAGCTGTTTGCTGGTGCTCCTGAGAAGCTGATGGGATAATGCTGTTGAGGCATGCTTTCTAATAGGACTTTTGTTCTCTCTCCCTGTGCCTGTCCCTCATTGATTTTATCCCTTTTTTCCTTTGTAATTGCTGCTGCACAAGGTGCTTCTGCGCAGCAGAGTCAGTGCGTTGAGCCTGCCTGCAGTCAATAACGGCTGTGTGGAACTTCTCTGCATCACGTTTCTCTCATCTACAAGATGAAAGCAACTTAGCAGAGCTCCTGCTTTATTTATGAATGAAGAGAGGAGACACTGAATAAATTAAAACGTACTTGAAAGTCATACATTTCAGTGTCATTAATTTAGAACTGAGCTTTGCAACTCTAGCTTCATCGGTGTACTCTAACTCATGTAAGAGCCCACAAATTAGCATGGTCATCTTGAAGCTCCATCTCCCAGAACAGTTAAGATAAGTATTTAAATTTCATGCAGAGGTTCATCTTGTTTCTCTCTGGCATATTATCTGTTTCTGATTTGAAAGATAAATGGGAATTTTCTGAACTCCTTTGCACTTATTTTTTCATTGACACTAACCTAGAGTGCAAAACTTCTTTTCCAGATTAGAGGCTTTGAAACTTCTTATTGCATTGATAGCATGGGACACACCAATGGTGGCTTTGTTGAGCTTGGGCCATGCCACAGAATGGGAGGAAACCAGGTAAGGAGCTTGGGGGCAAGTATGAAGGAGAACTGCTTGCTGTGGATGGTAACAGGCCAGTTTTCTGTTAAGCTTCCATGTAAAGTCACTTAGGTGCTAGCTAAAAAGATGGGAGTTAGGGAATTTCCGTAAGTGTACTGACATGACTAAAATATCAGAATCTGAAAATGACCATTGCAAGCACAAATGGTACAAAATCAAAGGAAATTAATCATCTCTTTTTCAGTGAAGCAGGTGTATGAGAAAGCAAGGTCTCTGATTCAGATCAACCATATCACTGCATTAGAAAAACTGCAGCCTTAGCACTGCTGTTGATTCATCATCTGTCTTCACTTAGTAATTCTTCCCTCAGGAAATTACCCCCTTATTTTGGCTACCAGTTATTTTACAAAATTGTTTTGCTCTAGTGGAAACGTAAAACACTTCTATGCATAACTCCTCTTCTGCCACAGACACCAAGTAATTGAATACAAATTTGTCTCTGCTTCATTTACGAATTAATTGGCAGAATATAGTTAGTAATAGATGGTTGCAATCCAAGCTACTGTTATGTTTGACCTGTATCTTCACAAACCTACCCCACACTAGCACACAAGCATGCTGGTTGGTATTTACATTTCCATTTTGGCTGGAAAACTTTTCATCATTTGAAGTCCTTATTTATGCTGATCTAGACTTGAGCCAGGCAAGTTTTGCCAGAGTAGTCATGAAATCACATGCAGGATGATACTTTTTAGAATTGTATGTGGGTTAGCTCTTAATAGCCCTTGGAAATGTCTCTTTTATTTTTATATTTAATAAAAAAGTTCCTTAAAGTACTTCTGTATATGTTATGCCCAGAAACCCTGTAGCAATCATTTAATAAGAATAGCTGGGATAGTCTTTTTCTATCCAGATGCATTAGTTTGATTTCCTCCATGGGTGAAATGCCAGAGTTTTACTGTCTTCACATGAAATTACTATCCATGATCAAGGACTTGCTACCAGATCTTTAGAAAGGTAGTGGTTTGGCCATCAAATCGTACAAAGGCTTTTAATTAGACACTTTCAGAAGTCTCCCAAATAGGGATCTCTCTATTTTTAAAATTTTTGTGTTGCTAGGTAAGTGTCTCAGAGTTCTAAATCCTACAGGAGAGTTCTTCATGAAATTGATTATTGCAATAGTAAAAGGGCATTACATCATGTAAAATAAAGAGCCCCCCTGAAAGATAACATCAGACAGTATTTTGAGTGATGCAATTTTGTTAGTATTTTCAGTGTTCCTAAAATATTTGAGTCAACTGTTTTTGCAGGGTTTGTCTTTTTTTTTTTTTTTTCTGTTAGCTTTTCCGTATCAATGAAGCTAATCAACTCATGCAGTATGATCAGTGCTTAACTAAAGGACCAGATGGATCCAAAGTTATGATTCTACACTGTAAACAGAATGAATACAAGGATTGGCAATACTTCAAGGTATGCAATAGATAAGCAGAAATTATAATTTGCATCCTGTTTTTTGGTTATTTTATGTATATCTGAAAATAAAGATCCACAACAAGAATAACTGAACAAAATCAAGTAAATTAATTGCACATTCTTGGAAATCCATACTGACTGGGAAAACGTCCTCTAGAAAAATACAAATTTACTAGTGATTCTAGCTGCTGTCTTGTGTAGCAAAATCTTTAAAGACAATACTGATGAGGTTATATGTGTTGCCACAGGTGTTAGGAGTCAGCACTTGTCTCAGAGGAAGCAAAGATTATGACCTCTACTAGTGATAGAGTTTCTAAAAGCTTTTCATGCCATCAACCTCTGCCTGTATGCTTCCTATCAAGAAAGTTTATTTAATGAATGCTGTGAGAAAATTACTTAAATACTGAGGTGTATTTAGTAGCTAGGCTCAGTATTTTATCTAATTTTGGGAGGTCTAAATTGAAGTGTTGCTCTGTTTAAAGACAGATCTTTTTAAGCCCACATAAGAATAGGTAAAATAGCAATAATCTTTGCCTTTTGTGTTGTCTTTGCCTTCAATGATTCTTTTTCCTGTTTGCTAGCCATTCCCTAATAACATGCTCTCTTGTGAATTCTGGGTGTGGTACCATTATGATGTTATTGCAAAATCTATGAATTTTTAATAAAGACTTGGAAAGTTAGCTGATATATATATATATGCAAAGGCTGCTACAGCCTACTTAGTGACTACATCTGTTGGTCCTTTATTAACTCTCATTTTGAAAGTGTTATTTAAAAGAAATGTCTATGGTTGTGTTTCTCTGAGTCTCTTAAAAAATGAGACTGAATAGTCGAAGAGTGATGTTATCCATGGATATAGCTCCATTTAACTCAGTTCTGTGTCTAAGAAACTTCTGCATCAGTTTTTTTTAAGTGTTCATGTTCTTCAGTCTCTGTAGCGTATTGTATATTTATTAATTCATTAGCTGGTTATCTGGATTGTGTTTATCTGAAAGATTTAAGCACTGCTGAGTGACGCAGAATCTGTTATCCTTTAAGCCACCCTGCTTTTTCTGATATTTGCATAGAGCTGGGAAATACCAGGCACAATAATGCCATTTCCACCCAGCTTTCCTGTGCCATACAGGCAGACAAAATTCTGTACACCTGAAATTTAAAAATTAGTAAGCAGTGTTCCAGTGCTTGCCAATTTCTGCTTTAATATTGGAATCATATATATCACCTGTTAACTCTCCAGCCATCCTAGTGTGTCCCAACATGTTATTTGGCTCTTCACAAAGAGCCAAGATTTCTTTTATGCAAGAATGATCCATTTCTTCCGTAGTGGTACCAAGTTGTGTAATTGTTTGCTTATTACTGCAAGTTATGAGGAAGCCCAGTAGGCATGGTCTGGGCTGTAGAACAAAACCCTGACTGGCTTCCAGAAGGAGAAAAAAAAGGGTGAGAGCAAAAGGACTACCAAGGTCGTGTAACCAAGCAGATACTAGAAATTTGGCATGTTCTGCTTAGCAGTGTGGAGGGTATGACCATTTCTTCTAATGAGAAGGGTTTAAGGAATGAAATGCTTATGAACTGCTGAAAAATGTTGTGGCCTCATGTAAATGAAAGCTGCCAGGAGATTTTATCTCTTTGGTCGGTTGGTCGTTTGTGGAATGAATGTTAGTTTGGTGAGCATAACATCTGTGCTGCCTGAGCCTTGGGTAGCAGCAGGGCTTCAGTGCCCATGAGCAAAGGTGGGACTGGCAGTTGTCTGTTTATTGTTTTTGTTCAAGCATCTGTTACTTCTCCAAGTAGAAGATCCCCATGGCTGGCCACATGGTAGGATCAAGTATGAAGCTGAACCAATATTTGGATGTTCACGTGTGTGAGAGCGGTGGGGTAATGGTCAGTGTCCATGCCTGGAGGAGCTGGGCACAGGGGCAGGGCTGCTGAGCCCAGCCTGACTGCAGTGCTAGTGGTTTGCTTCTGCTCCAGGCTAGATGCAGCCGGTCGGTGAGCCAGGACTGCATCTGGCACAGGGGTCAGCAAGCAAGAAAGGAGGCACAGGTTGCTTTGCAAGTGCCTGAGACTTGGGCATGGTAGCACAGGGCATGTGGAAGGAGCCAAGTGTGTGAGTCTCAGCCTGAAAGTGCTAGGCACCGTAGGTCTGTGGTTCCGTAGGCAGCCTGCTGTTGCTCCAGGGGCCAGACTTGCTCTCATACCCTCTTCTCTTCCATCTACCAGCCAAACAGGGAGTAAAGTTAGTGCTTTTTTTTTTTCCCCAGTGGTATTGATTAATGCTAGTGCTGTACAGTTGCTTTATGTGAGGGCTAACCAAAGGAGGATCTGCCCAGTGGGGTCAGCTCTCGTAGAACTAGTCCTCAAGAGTTAATTTTTTAGTTTGGTTACAGGATGGATGAAAAGGCTGGAAGAAATTAACACACAGTTTTATTCACTTTTTTAATAGTTTGTTGTCTAAGAGAAATGGAAGGTGTCTCAAGTAGACCTACACATACCAAACATTTCGTAATATGAAGGCTGTGAAAATCTAGGTTTAACAAATAGTTAGACTAGTATAGAACTGATCTGTTCTTGGACACTGAAACATGTTTTTAAAATAGCTATATTGCAGTTGTGAAGAAAATGTTTAAAAAAAAAACAACAAAAAAAAACAAACAAAAAAAACCAACAACAACCCAATTCAACACATGTTCCTGATGCTTTTGTTTTCCAGAATCTGCATAGATTTACTCACATTCCATCAGGGAAGTGCTTGGATCGCTCCGAAGTCCTCCACCAAGTTTTCATTTCAGAGTGTGACTCCAGTAAAGCAACACAAAAATGGGAAATGAACAACATCCTTAGTGTGTAGACAGACAAAACCTACCTACTGACACATTAATTTGTACAGGACTAAAAATAGCCTGAAAACTGCTGCAATTATTAACTTTGTACAGCTGCGAGCCTCCTGGCTTGGATGAAGGACATAGATGAACTCTGATTATTACAATAACATTATCATCCGCAGTTAATGTTTACAAAACTGCTTTACCTTAAACTCTGTAGATGTTTACATCTTTTTTGTTTTAAGGTGTTGGTAAATTAATGTGCTGTTAGCTATGTTTCCTAGGAACACAGCTAAGAGCGTTGTCGTCTTCTTTGGGATTACACTCAGGGGTCTGAAGGCAGTTTTTTTACACACACTTGAAAAGGTTGGAGTAACCAGATTTTCATAGAACTTGGTGATTATCAACCTGTTGTATATTTTTATTTAATTTTACATCTTACTAAGCACTGCCACAGGTTATCAGCCAGGGTGGCCTTCTCTCACAGTCATGCTGCTTTTTTCGAAGGTGAATTTCAACATACTTAGTGCCTCTTTCATTTCTGTGTTTCACAAGAAAAGCATTAGTTGGAGATTATACAAGGGATTTTTCTGAGCTGTCACCAGAGCTAGGGACCAACTGGAGCCTCCATATAATTATGTTACTGAAGACCAATCAGGTTGCCAGTTTGGCTGGTCTGCCTTGACTGGATGCTGTGTATGGTGCAAGGAAGAGCTTAGTCCTGAATTTAGCACTGATGTGGTACATTTTGATGGAAGTGAGCACCTTTGCGACTCCAGTTATGAACTGGTAACCACTAACTTGCTTGTTGAAAATATGCCTTACATAAAAATAATTGGAAAAAAAAAATAAATAAAGCTGCACAATTATGTAAAAACTTAGAAATAAGACAATGCTTCATTTATGTTGTCATTTTAAATGGGAATCGCTTAGAGGTAGACTAAAAAGTTTAATTAGGAAAAAAAATCCAGCTCCTTAACACATCTGCATCATTCCTTACAAGGACATCTGTCAGCTAGTTTGGATGCCGGATTTAGATTTGAAAAGAGAAATGGTAATCCTGAAACCCCATTTACTCATACTAATATTCTTCTTATTTTTGGCATTGGAAACTTTTCCTGAGGGATTACAAACAAAATACAACCACTTGGTGCTACAGTGAACAGACTACAGTGTGAAGAAAAAGTTTCTAAAAATGTTCTGGAAAGGAGTTGATACAAAGTCCCTTAGGAGTATAAATATTTACACTGAATGAACAGAGAGGTGGAGGAGAAATGACTTAGCCTCACTTCCTTATTCCAGATTTTGTGACTGTTAGATGTTGCCATCGGTGTACTGATTTCGTAAGAATTATGTCTCTAACATGTCACACTACTAAATATGACTAAATGCTTCCCTGAGATCTAGAATAGCATTGCATGCAGCTTTGATTGATGTTTAGCACGGGTTATGTATCTTATTTGGTGACAGAGTTTGATCTTTTTAGGGCTGTCTCCACTGATCTGTTTGTTTGGGATCTTTCCTACTTTCCTTAAATTTCTCATCTGTCCTTTCAGAGCTATGAAAATAAAGGAGGGAGAAACGGGGGGGGGGGGGGGGGAAGGAAAATAAGGTTGTGTGCCGGTACTTGTTCCTTGTGTGTATGAAAACTGACTCAATTTTTGTGTGTTGGGTAGATTAATTTAATCATATGACTATGCATAAGAGAAAGAATGGTGGCACATAATTTGTGCAGGTGTGCATTTTAAATGGGTATTTTGTGCAATTAATTGAAAGGTGATGCTGTATGTGAATATGAATCTGTATGCGAGATTGAAACCTTACAAAACATGAGATCATGAGAAGCTGTTGCTGTAATGACTTTTTCCTACTATAGCTGGCTTGGAAAAAAAAAAATTCCCATATTCTTGCTTTGTAAGTTGATGATAATATCACTATGCATTTCTACATATTTTATAAATTTGATTTATGCAGATTTTGATACACTGTATGTTTCTGTAGAAATTGTATAAAACTTTAAATTTATTAGGGATAAATCTGGGAAACCTATGTATATCTTACTTATGGGTTGCTTGTTTTTTAGATGAAGTAAATAAAATATTTGAAATTTTGGGTTTACTATACTTTTAGAGTAAAAATGAATTGTCTTTATAGAAACCCTGTATCTCTAAATCTAGACAACTTCAATGTTGCAAACTTATAAATACTAAAAGTGTTTTATTTTACTTTCTTGTATCTGCGGGGACCTGGATTTTTTTTCCAAAGAAGTGAAAAATGAAATTCCGGCTGGGAGTTGCCATGTGGACACATTTGAATTTTTTTGTCACCTGCCCTGATCTAATTAGTTAGATTGAATATGCTCATAGAAAATTAACTTGAGAATTATTTTTTAAGTAGAACCAAATGTCAAAACTAGTTGGAAGTGTTTAGACTCTGTATTTTGTATGTTTCTACCAACAAGCATGTTTCAATCAAACTTTTTTTTTTTTTTTCCTGAGAAGGTTTCTTAGCAAAAGAATTTGCACTGAAATCAGGACACAGAAGATGCAAGTTCAGGTCCAAGAGCAAGCCTAAGTGCTGAAATCTACAGCACGTTTTTACAGATGGGGTTCTTGTTTCCCAATCGTGTCTGTCAATCAACATTTTTGTATTCAAGTTTCGAAAGGCTCCTTCAGCAAAACCCTGGGGGTATAGCAACAGCAGGTTCCTGTAGGAAACACACTTTTATTTACTGAAACGGGGACTGATAGGAAGGTGGTGACATCTTTCTTCATTGCCAGAGATCCTGGCACCAGGAGAACCCACAGAACCAAGGACACTGTCCCTGTTGACAGTATTCTAGAATCAGTCAATTTTCTTTTCCCAAAGTCAGTCACCTTTATTCCTTTACTATTTGCTGCTTTCATACCATCTGCCTCCAGATTGCAGTACCTAAAGCCAACAGTCAAGATCAACTTACTCTCTGACACTAGACCAAGATGCCTGAGATCTATTACACCATGCCAGGGATGTAAAAATTTTATGTTTATCTATGAGACTTTTTGCAGGGAAAAAAAGCAAACACACCAGCAGCCTAGGAAGACACAGAGGATGCCTTGCTAGGTGTTGCTGTGTATGAACCACAATATTGCTGTTAGATTAAAGAAGGTCAAATAATGCAGGATTGACAGAGGCACAGGAATTTCAGAACATGCACAAGAAAGACTTACACCCATTGAACAAAAACTGGCTTTTTTGTAAAAACATTTATTCTTTTTTCCCTGCTGATATTTCCGTTTCTGGTTGTTCTTTCCCTTGGTATAAGAGGCATGGGAATACTAGGTCTTGCAGCATTCTGAAATCTCGTCTTACTACATCTATGAGAGAATCCCTGAGAAGCAGCAGAGGTTATCTGCCAGAGTAATATTTACTTTCTGGGAACATCGAAGTGGTTGCCAGCATTCAGTCCTCTGGTTGTTGACTTTACTTACCCTACAAGCTTCCTCTGAACTCCCGCAGTGTTGGAAGAGTAAGTTGTGTAGCTTGACTGGCACTGTTTAGGGAGGCTCCGCGTAGAATGAGTCTGAGTAGAAAAAGTGATAGAGTATCATAAAATGTAGGGAGTTTGCCTCCCTTTTCCTTAAAAAAAAAAAAAAAAAAAAAAAAAAAAAAAAAAAAAAAAAAAAAAAAAAAAAAAAGGTACCTGAACTATGAGTGACCCCTGAAGACTGAAGCCATGTTGGCCCCCCTTCCACTGTGGGGAGCCTCTGGTCACCTTTCCTCACATGCTGCTGCCACTGGCATGTGCGTTGGTGCGTGCTGCCTCACTCAGCACACACTCAGCCACGTTAGCTAGTCTGGAGCACAGCAGAAGTGGGAAGAGGTGTGTGTGCTAACCAGTCAATGGTTAGTGACCTTTGTTTTTAAAAGCATAGTCTGTTCTTTACACTGAGAAACAAGTGTTCTTCATTACCATGTGACATGAGTCCTAGTAAAAGAAAAAACAAGCAGTCTGCACAACCCGTAGGTTTTTCACTGCACTTCTGAACAACTGTGTGGATGAAGACTCCAGCAGGGTATTGGCATTGCTTATGGTCTGATGGACATTAACTGATGAAAACTGTGCATTCCTTCAGTTAACAGGTCCACGAAAGTGACAGGGATCAAAGCCTGTAAGGAGTTGGTGCTGTTCAAACACCAAGATGAAAAGGTATGTTTGTGGGTTAGATCCCTTCTTTTTCTCATAATACACTAAACTGAAATGTGATTGCTTTCGGGACAAGAGCCACATCCCTTCCAATAGTGGAGTGCAGGTGGAGCAGGGCTGAGGGTCAGGTGAGTCCCGCAGGTCTCATCAATGCCAGAGACATTGACTCGTCAATCCGCTCATCATTCAGTGAGAAAGCAGAACTGCCTCCAGTGGGCTGCCTGTTCAAACAGCTCAGCAATGTTTCTTGTGCAAGAGTTGTGTCTTCTGCAGAGGAAAGGAGCAGAGAGCTGGGAGAAGCGGCGTAGCACTCATGTTCAAACAAAACAAAAGTAACAACACTCCAATGTCTGAGATGTGTGTGATGGCAACAGCAGCCCTCTGGCTGAGCATCCCAGGGGTCCTGAAAGAGGAAAGGAAAATTAATGGAGAGATGATGCTTTGCTTTCCTGAAAAGGGCTGCTGGTGGCAGTGTGTGTCAGTCAAGGAGGCAGCATTCCCAGATAGTTGGTAAATTGGAGTCTTCATATGAAGATGAAGAAGCCCTACTTGGAGCAGGCTTTCTGCATCACTTGAAGTCAATACAGTGGAACTAAGAATCAAAATATAGCCTTTTCCCTTGAAATTTGTTTTCTTTGTTTTCTAATTTCCCAGGATTTCCCTGGGAAAATAGTATAGGCCAGGACCTTTGAACAAGTCCTGATATTAAACAGTGGTGTATCTTTTGAGTGTAAAGTTCTCTGGATCTTCTGTGTGGAGGTGCATTTTCTCTGGGTTGGGCCTGTCACAAGATACAGCATTAGGGCTTAGAGTGACATCTGGGCCAGAGCCTTGACGGCTGGTGCCTACATTTCTGAGGGCTGATGAGCGAAAATGTGCCCTCAGCAAGCTGTTTCCATGCAGCCAGGGATCTCATCCCACTGGGGAAGCTCCATGTTGTCCTTTGCTATGCCTGGGAGACCTAGCAATTGGATGCTTCACTAACCTGAACCTACAGGAGGGCTATACCCTCTTGCCAGAGTCCTCAAGGCCATCCCAGTTGCAGCCACAATTGTAATTTTCTTATTTTTATTTCTGAAGCAGCAGGAACAATGGATGAAAGTAGAGTTCTTCTGGAGGATTCTTGGGGGTTCATAAAAATGGAGATTTAAGAAGGGAGATTTGAGAAGGGCTGGCCAGGAGAAAAAGCACACAAAGCTCATTAAGTAGCACTGAGAAATGCCCTGAAGTCCTGCCTATCCTGAAGATGCCAAAGAACCTCTAAAGACATCAACCTGGTGATGGAAGGGAAAGGTGCCTGTCCTACCATCTAGCAGCAAAGGTAAGATGGTGTGGGGTGTTGCCAAGGAAAACAAATCTGAAACCCTATAGCAGAATGCGGTCTGATTACTACTGATATTAGAGCTATTGGGGATAAAGTAATGTTGAACTGGGCCATTCCCAGTTGGAGATAGGAGCCACTCCTCCTGCATTTGTTTTTTTCCTCTGTTACGATATCCCATTATCTTCCATGTGATGGCTATGAGAGGAATGGATTCCACGCTCCTGAAATATCAGGATCCCATTGTCTCTGATTGACAAAGTTGGAAAGTATT